TTTAAATAAATTCTGTTGTGTCTAGTTCTTTTATTGATGTATTAAATTGTATTACTTTATGCTTGTGTTCGAAAGAAAAAATAATTTCGTCTCTGTCTAAGTGGATTTCTACTTTATTTTTCTTTAAAAAGTCAATTTCTAGTATGCAACCACGAATCAGTTTTGGTATTATAAGGAAATCAATTTCTAAATAAATATTTTTTATTTTTACTTCTGCTCTGAACTGTTTTTTAACTTTAAGTGATTTTTCACCGATAAAACCGCATGCTTGGAATCCAAGTACCAGAAGGGTAGGGAAAATTTTCCCTGCATCGTTATATTTTTCATAAATGTCTTCGGATATACATGTGAGTTTACTCCCCGTATCTATTAAGGCCTCTAGTCCAACGCCGTTTATCTCAATATTAATTTCCGGGCACATAAAAGCTTTATTGGTTAACTGAATTTCGCTGTGTGGTTTTTTTAGCAGTGTCTTTCTTAAATCTTTGAATACTGTATGTATTTTCGGTTTGACTACTGAACAATTTTTTTATTTGACTTTTATGGCAAATTGAGTAGGATTGGCATGCATTTGTAACAGTATTAGACTTATTCTCATCAGTAACTTTTTTTTCAAGCTGGTTATCAAATGAAACCAAAACTGTATATGTACGGGGTATTACCCATTCTTGAGTCTTGATCAGTGGATTGCCTTGATTATTGTTAATTTTTGACATTATTTGTAAATTTTTATTTACATATGGTCGCGTGGTAGTGTGTAAGGTGTTTGTGTTATTTTCTTGTTCGGGCTTGGATTCATAACTTTTTAATATATTTGTCTTTGTAATGCCCCTTCTGATCGTTATATCCCATAAAGTATAGGTTTGATAATCTTAAGAGGTCTGGGATACGACGTCTTTTCGTTTTCCTGATTTGGGATTTCTTCAATTATATTTATTTGAGTTCCCTGGGTCCCTTGATTGTATGAGCTACTTTGTGGTCTTTCTACGTATGGTCGATTGGAACTATTATTGTTGTTGTTAGTTTGTTTGCCTGAGTTCGTATTTTGGTTTATGGTGGTATTACTTGTATTGTTACCGTGGTCACGCCAATTGCTATTAGGTGGGTTTGGTATTGAGGCTCGGAAGTTGCTATGATTCCGCGCAGGGCTTGAGTTTATTTGTCTCCCGGAATCTATGTATCAATTTTTTCGAATCGTAATCGAGCTATTTAACGCACCTACTGCATCCATAGAATCTAAGAGTTTTATGAGATTGTCAATTTTGTTACTTTTCCGAAGAAGTATAAACTGTTGTATGACTTCGTCAAAATGATTTGCGAATTTATCAACGGCCTCCGCTTCAGTGGGTGGTGCTGATAACATTTCCACGTAACTATACGAATTTAACACGTATTTACTACGGCTTATATTATTTGTTGCTTCGTATGCATTCCATTAGAGCGCTTGACGAATTTGAGCTTGTACCGTTGCATTTCAATATTTATTTAAAAATAAAGTTTTAAAATTATTCATGAAATTTATTTTTCCTTGAGTGTGCTCATACCAATCAAGTGCCGGCCTTTTAATGCTTGAGATAATACTAATTTAATCGTGTTGGTTTCTATAGAAGTTATTTCAACGTAAGTTTCTAAGGCTTTAAGGAATTTGATTGGTCGATCACTTGCAGCTGCGCTAAAAGTGGGTAAATCTACTTTCAATTGGGAAACTCTTCTGCCTTGTACGTTATTTAATTTTCAGGTGATGATCGATTCCACGTCTTTTTTGTGTTGGGCGATAGCCTCGTATATATGATCATCTTCCTGTTCTAAATTGACTATGGCTTGTATTTGTGCCGTGACTGTTTGATTGAGTTTTTGAAATGTTTGTGTTGTTTTCCCTATGTTATGTGCAAGTTGATCTAATTTTATAGCTCCAAGTGCAATATTGCTTGCATCGGTATATAATACAAAGGGTTTGTTTAAATCGGGGTGATTTAAGAATAAATATACAGTAAATAGAAGAATATAAAAATAAATGTAAAGCGTGTATTATAAATTCTAGGTGATAGAAGTGCCCCCTTGCATCTGCCCCCTCTAATTTGTGAAAATGAAAAAAATGTTTTTCTTTGAACAAATTAGGTTTGAAGTAATGAGCTTTATTCATTGTTATTTACATCGGTTTTTTGTTTTCAGTATTNTAAAAAAGCTACAATAATATTTGTTATTAATTTCTGAAACAAAAGTAACTTTCAAGATTTGTCTGATATGACAGACTATCCACTGTTTGAACTCCCAAATTGGTTACTACTTGTGCGCACCACAACGAAGCCTACAAATCGGTGTTGGCTCTTTATAATGTTAAGATAAAGAAGTGTTATTTCCAAATCAAGGAAGGTAAAGTATCTGTTAAAATTACAATTAGTTAAATCAAATTTGTTGAGTTCGTTGGTTATTTGGGTAAGGTGTTTTTGTCGGACTAATTTTAATTTATTAATTTTTCTGTTAATATTATCTATGACTGGCTCTAGGGAATATATGTGTGTGATTTGTGCTCTAAGTTCTAGTAGTTGTTAATTTTGTGTAGCGTTTTATCTTTCAAGCTCCTCAATTCGTCGCACTATTGCCTGATAATAGGGCCCAGGGTACGCAGTTGGCTTTTTATTCGCCTTGGATTTTGGCATCTACAACATATTTCGGGGTAAACTAATATAAATATTTGCATTCATTTAAACACTCCCTCTTACAATTGCGAGTCCTACCAGGGGTACCATTTACGACTTCCTTTTCTTTGAGTACAACCCCGGTTAATTAGTGGTGGTAACCATCGGCTAAGAATATTATCTGTACCGAGGAAACTCTAAGATTAGGAACCAACACACAAACAATGATAGTGTTTATACGTCGGAGGGCGGGTTGGTTGCCCTGTGAGAAAGAGCAAAATTGCTCAGATTGCCGATTTTATACAATACTTTAAATAATTATTATCGAATTTTAAAATTTATCTGTTAAAGAATCAAATAATTCCTGCACCATATACAGCAATTGTTGATTGATTATTACTTTATTTTTACTTCTGCTCTGAACTGTTTTTTAACTTTAAGTGATTTTTCACCGATAAAACCGCATGCTTGGAATCCAAGTACCAGAAGGGTAGGGAAAATTTTCCCTGCATCGTTATATTTTTCATAAATGTCTTCGGATATACATGTGAGTTTACTCCCCGTATCTATTAAGGCCTCTAGTCCAACGCCGTTTATCTCAATATTAATTTCCGGGCACATAAAAGCTTTATTGGTTAACTGAATTTCGCTGTGTGGTTTTTTTAGCAGTGTCTTTCTTAAATCTTTGAATACTGTATGTATTTTCGGTTTGACTACTGAACAATTTTTTTATTTGACTTTTATGGCAAATTGAGTAGGATTGGCATGCATTTGTAACAGTATTAGACTTATNTACTTAATAATTTATTAAAAATTTATTCGCCCTTTTAATAGAAAGTTTTACATAAATGACAATTTGAATTTTCCCTCCTTAATATCTCTGCTAAAACACGTTAGGTTAGACTAATGCGAATTTTTATTACAACCACGGAAAGTTGGTGTTAGGTAACTACCTATTCTACCAAGTCACGTAAGGTTAGGTCGTTCTCAGGGCCCTTGGGTGTCTTGAGCACTGCTCAAGTCGTCAACCCAGGAACTTCGCCTAAGAACGTGGTCGCTAACCCCAGTGCCTCGACTACTTGGGGATGACTCGTCTCCACGCTTAAAGCGGTCGAGCACCGAAAGTCCAAGTAAAAACCGGTTAGTGAAAGTGTCACCTGTTGGTGGTGTGCAAACTTACTTTTCAGCTATCAGCCTTCATACTTCGTCTCTTTCTCTTCCTTTGTGCTCGTCGCGGTATTTTACCGGTGCACGGGAAAAATTCAGGTCTGGGTGAGCAACGGAGTTTCCGCGTCCCAGCCTCGCTGGCAGAGGACCTCTCAGGCATTGCGCACTGGTGCTTTTTATGCTAACGTTATTTTCTTTTAAGTATCAGGTTTTCCCTTCTCTGGGTTAATGTGCTCTAGCGTTTTCTTAACGTACTAGACGCATATTCCCCGCGCGCGGTGTTTAAATTTGAATTTGCAAATAGTAATTTTTTATAACATGAAATATATGTATGTATAAAAAAAATTTGTACTACTGAATTCTCTATTAGACGGATTGTTTATTACAAGAAAATATAATTAATAGAAGAATATTAATATAAATGTAAAGCATGTATTATAAATTCTAGGTGATAAAAGTGCCCCCTTGCCGTACTTAGAATGTGCAAATCATAACATAAGTAGTATCAGTTCTTAATATACTGACTATAACAATATTTGAATTGGAAGTTTTACTTCTGCTGGGAGTCTCGAAACCCAAACATGGTTTTGAAATTTATATTATGGTTAAGAATGTGCGACTTCGTTAGGCAAACATTAATTTCTCAATCGAATACCTGTAACCGTCCTTGATTGTTCCAAACAAAACGAAACATTAAAAAATGCTTCTCTACTAATTTTTCTGCATCACTGTATTTTAAACCATTATACATACAAGTTACAGCTACAGTTAGAGTAACAATAAAGTAGAAAATGATTTACGACATGAAGAGTGGGAGAAATTTATGAAGAGCAATGAGAAAAAAGACACGAAGTTTAAAAAAACAAAGTCTGTTCGACAATAAAAAAATAAAGACTGTTCAATTGCTTCAGACAATGAATTTGTTTATAAGTTATAGTTTAATCGATACATTGCATAAGCCATGGCCAAGCCCTTTCACAACTAATGTTGAGTACTAAAAAATCATAACTAAGGATACTGATAATAGAAACACGAAATTAAAGTTAAGTATAATAACAGCTGAACATAAACTATTTTGTGGACACGCCAGTCCAAAAAACAAAGTAATGATTATGTGCTCAAAAAACTAGCCATTTTTTTTCATGGTACTAACAATACAATAGCCCAAGTAGTTCTTTTTAAAGCACCTCTTACCTGGCAGAAATAACCACAAAAGTACTAACATAAGAATTTTTACCTTGAACTTTACTATCACAGACTTATCTGGAACACAGGAAAAATCAAGTATTTTGAAATAGAAGATATTTAACGAGAAAATCTTAAAAAAGCTACAATAATATTTGTTATTAATTTCTGAAACAAAAGTAACTTTCAAGATTTGTCTGATATGACAGACTATCCACTGTTTGAACTCCCAAATTGGTTACTACTTGTGCGCACCACAACGAAGCCTACAAATCGGTGTTGGCTCTTTATAATGTTAAGCGAAAGAAAAAGTTTTATTTAAACATGGAATAGGTTAATGTTCATGACGATTACGTTTGTAATAAACAGCTGCAAAAATCTCTTCTTTTTTAACAATCAGATATTATTAAACTCATTATAGTTAAACACATATGGTTGTAAGACTTATTTGTAAATGTACATTATTCATTTAAAATTAACTGATCAAGCAAAATAATATAAAAATGTTTTACAATAATTGTTCTGTCGCTACACGTTATACATTATCATGCAACGTGATCACTTACACAATAAATCCTAATATGTTTAAACCATCGTGTGCAAAAGCTGCAGGAAATTTCACACATTTAAACAGCAGCTTCACCCTCCCCAAAGTTGATAACGCCAGCCACAGCATGAGTTTTTGCCAAGCTGACAACGCTAGCGATACGCGAAGTATTGCGAGCCAGCACTAAAAAATCTAACGAGGGAAAGCAAGCAAAGAATGCTAGTGGTAGGGGTAAAGTTGTTCTAAAACCGATGGGTGCTAGTTCTAGAACAACTAATCAATAACGCCAGAGGGGAAAGGCAAGCTGTGCCAAAACTTGCGCCAAAACTGGATCAGCTATTCCAGAACCAGTATAGCCTATTTACTTTTTTAGAATTAAAAACATAATTAATAAGTGTGGCATCTTAGTGGCTCCTTGTTATTTGAAAAGATTGCAGAATATTTCTTGTATTATTAACAGTACAGTAAATTATCAGCAACGATTCAGTAACTTTTATAAGCTCCTACAAAATCTTACTATAAGCTTTAAAATGTTGTTCTTTCTCAGAAATTAAGTATTTTAAGATAAGAAGATAATAAAAAGAGCGTATTCTCAAAATTTTCAAGTAATAACATAGCCTCTTAAAAAGACAACAAACTGCATTCCTACTAATGTGACCTGCTTTTTTTCTAAATTTTTTGGAGTTACTAATATTTTCAAAAAACTACGTACGATTTTTACTATTCACTAACTTATGTTTTTTTTTTTTTTCTTTTAGTACTGGAAAGGATTTTTTATTTTTTTTTTACGTAACAATACATTATTAGCAAAGTTGTATCAATTTCTTTAACAGTTCACATAATTTAAATAAAAAAGGCACGATTAACTTTTTAATTTGAAATAAATTTTTTCTAATATCTTAAACTTTTCTAATTTACTATTTTTCTCAAAAAGTATTTACGTTATCTGAAAACTAAATTTTAACTATTAAAACAAGAGCATCCACAGTATATTCCAAAAAGCTCAACAAAAAGTGTTAATGGCTATGTGCTGGTAAAGAGTAACATATTAAATAACTGCTTGTTTTATCATCTTTTATTCTTTAGCTATTGATAGACTCACCAGTCAAGGAAATCCAATAACTCCTTGTCATATACACCAAGTTAAAAGACTCTATTAAATCAAAATCTTTTTTATATACTTTATAATATGATATATAGTTATTTGCAGAAAAACTCATAGAAGTGGTTTGTCATTTAGTAAAAAGTCATTTACTAATGCAGCAGTATGCACTGTTTTATAGATGACAGTGGTTATACTTGATTATCTGAATTTTTAACTAATAACCTTTTGCCATATTATAACGACAATAACCTTCGTGTGTATTGTCTAGTATAGTAAAATTTGATTTAATTTAAGAATAAGACTTCTAACAATCTATTCTTTATAATGTCATGAATTTTTCAGTAATACAAATTATTTCAATGATTTTAGAAGATACGAATAAGGTTCTTACACATTTTGTATGATTCTAGTTGTTATTAGACGCTTAACAGTGTATATATATATTGCAGTTAATTCTTTATAACCACAATTGTTACATGAAATATAAATACATACATTTTTATGTTCTTCATGATATAAATGATTCTGTATGTAAGATACTTATATAAAACATCAAGGGTACATACAATTTGAGGCATCGTTTGTTGAGCTAGACTGATGTTCTTCGTTATTTTTTTCAGTACTTTCTTTTTCAGTTATAGAATATTGAGTTATATTTTTTATTCCGTTGTTGAATATAGAAAACAAAAAATGTAGAGGGACATTTATTTCTAACACTGTAAGAGTCTGAAGCCAACGCAATGCTTGTTCTTGTACTTTTAGGTTTACTTCATTAAAGCGCTTTGATATGAAGTCATACATTTTGTATACATCAAGACCCAAAGGACTCATTTCTGAATCAAACATCTTGCTGAAAGTCACGATACATTACATACAAACTAAGTGAAATTGAGTAATAAATTTTGCTAAGTAAGCGGCAGCTTATGTCCTTAACCAATAAATGTAAAAATCATATAAATCACGACAAAATAAGAAAAAAAAAACAACAACGATATATTACCCCAAAAGCAATACATCATTATAATAGCTGCGTATATAATAAATAAGTCCGTTCTTTGAAGTAATAAATGTAATAATAAAAGAAAAAATATGCATTTAAAACACTTTTTTATCCTTAAATTTTTTAAAGTGCTCAGATTATACATTGTAACGCAAAAAAAGTTTTTTCTTCTAAATAAAAGTTAAGAAAACATATTAATACTACAAGAATCTGACAACAGTTTATCAAAAAACTTTCAAAAATTGTAAACATAAGCTGCCACTTACTAACGCTAAGTATAACTATTAGAAAAAACTGTCATCTTACCATAGCGTTAATTTTATCTCTAATAGCTCATGTTGTGGTACATCATTGGTAATAGCATCCATCCAGTAAGGCATAACGGAATTCCAATTGTCAAATGTTACAACTTCATAAGGAATTAAACAAAATAATCGATTTAGTCCATCCTTAAGTTGTAGTGTTCTTGAAGTCAACGTTTCCCTTCATGAAAAGAATTTTGTATTATTAAACTATCAGCTAACTTTTTTCATAAATATATGTAGATGTAAGCACTGCTTGGCAAACATCGTTATTATTACTAATGCATTTCTTTTCTTACTATTCCAAACTAAAAGTTATTCGAAAAGAAAAAAAGTTAATATTCATCAGTTCAAAGGAAAACAAAAATCCGCATAAAAATAATAAAAGTTTAATTTATTCAATTAAGTTATAAGTTACGAATATAATGTAACTTTTTTATATAGCAATTATTCCAAATGATCTACTGAAATATGAGTTACCTTGTCACAAGTTCTAAGATCTTAAATATATACTGTACCAATATCCACCGATTCGAACATAATCCAATGGGTACGGTAGTAGACACGATATCAGCAGATCATTATGTTCTATCATAATTTGGGATAGCCATGGACAAATAAAATCTGTTTTGAGCTTTTCCAATGAATTTTCGGCTTGCCCTAAAGTTAAAACAAAATATGTTTGCTACTTCTCTTATAAATTTAATTGTTTGTGTTTTTGTATAAATTTATATTAATGATACATCAAATGATTTTTTTTTTTTTTTTTTAAACTATACAAAATAAGCTGTCATGCTGGTACGGGCATAACGTACTTCATTGCTAGCTAAGAGCTATTAACAAGTTTCCTTATATGTACGTTCAGTTGTTGTCCAGATAAATGTATTTAAAACTAGTTAAATTATATCTAAAAATTAAATATTGAAATAATGATAAAATTTTTTTTAACGATTATTGCAGTTAAAAAGATTTAATATCTGAGTAATAGATTAAAAATTCATTTATATTTGTTAAAAGTTTTATCACAATAGTTTGGTATTCAGAAACACAACTAAACCTATTTTAGCTGACCAAAAGGAATACTTTATAAATTATAACTCTTGTTTTGGCACATTAAAGATGACAAGCTTTTAGAAGAGATTTTAAATATCCTTTCCAAGTAGAAGTCAAAGACAAATTGAGCTTAATTTGAATTTCTTGTTACCAATCACCGAAATGTTTCAGAAATTACTTTGGATCAACAATAGGATGCTTTAAACTTGGTAAGATCATTTAAAGGTAATCATTAACTTCCTTGTATATCATAATTATGATATGGTACTGTAAAATAATTAGGTAACAATTTTTTTTTCTATTAATGGGAGTGTTTTACAGCCTTGTAGATGCAACTTTAAAAATTTTTTATACAGACGGCTCTGAAATGTTGTTTTATTCTTTACATGTAAGAATGCTACAAATTCAGTTTTTAATCAATTTATTTTCGGAAAAAAATGTTAAGTATATTTTTGTTACTGGTTAATGTTTGATAAAATAAAAAAGCACTACGTGTTATGTTTCATAAGAGTTAAGATTTTTTTTGTAGTAGAATTTATTAATGCACTCTGCAGGGACTGCAGCAGTGCAAGAATCTGTGGTTTTCATTTATTAGGTTAGCAATACTCATTTAACCTTATTTATGCTCTTTCCAGGTCTTAGATCAACTCAAGAACCATGTTAGTATTACCTTCTGATTGAGCCAATAAGGTTATCCTTGTATCTTTCAGCATTCAAAAGCAAAATTGACACCCCTAGTTAGAGGTGCTAATTCTCGTAAGTTCTAGAAAGCACTCAGAGTCTCTTAGAATTAGCACTCTCTTCTTATCCTTGTTGAAATTCTACATTATTAGTAAGTACCACTAAATGCTTGATATTTTGTTTCACTAATAAGTTAGTAAATGGACTCAGCACAGAATAAGTCTGCATTAGATCTTACTTATCCTTTAAATATTTTTGTCTCAGATGCAGTTCCATCAAGCTTTTTTATTGGCCTCATCTAAGGCTTTTAAAAAAATAGGTAGCCTCCACTTGTGGTTTCAGGCTTGCTTTTTTTTGCTAGGTAGAACAAACATTAAGCTGGACTAAGACACCCAATTCTTTGGTGGTTAGAGCTTTTACTTTAGAAATATAAAATTGTTTTTTTCGCAGTAACATAAGATATATTAGTTTCTTAGAAAACCGTAACATTATAATACTAAAATTAATCTCTGGATTTTTTTTACTTATACAGCTGACTCTTAATCTGCCAACTTTTCCTGCTTGCCTATTATTGAATCAGTCTTCCATTACAACAACCATATATAACTAGGATCAATTTTTTGAGGCAAAACACAAGAATATTACTTGGTAAGAATTTTGTTGCCTTAGAATCATTTTTATTGCCCTGTGTGACTTTTTGTTACATTTTATGTGAAAAAAAAAAGAAAGGGTAATTCAAAAATACATTCCATATGGTGAGATATAAAGATAGCAAAAGTTAAAAGTAAAAATAATAGGCAATAAGTATGTAAAAAGCTTAGAGTAATAATGAAATTATTACTGTGGTTATGATTAAGCATATATATTTTAGTAAACTTCAGTAGGTGGACAAAAGTATACACGTGTTCTCGTTTGCAGACCCAACAAGTGCTCCGATATCAAACTAAGAAATCGCGCACACGTCTGCGCAGCAGGTCTGTCATTGGCCGAGCACTTGCGTGTCTTTTCTCACCTCAAACTTAAAGACCCAGCGCGCAAGCCCCGAAAACATTAATCCAAGAACTAAAAACTAAATGACCCGGCGTGCTTACTGCCAGCGCGCTAGTTTATTTACATAAATAATAACTCGGGCAGAAAAACGGAATGATCTAGCGCACTTACTGCCAGTGCACTAGTTTATTTGAATAAATAATAATGACTCGAGCAGTTTCACCCAATGATCTGGCACGCTCACTGCCAGCCCGCTAGTTTATTTAAATAGATAATAACTTAAGCAGTTTAATTCAATGATACAGCACGCTAGTTTATTTAAATAAATAATAACTCAAGTAGCTCAACCCAATGACCCAGTGCACTTATTGCCATCGCACTAGTTCATTTAAATAAATAATAAATCGAGCAGCAAAACTCAATGACCCGGTGCGCTTTCTGCCAGTGAGCTAGTTTATTTCAATAAATAATAACTCGAGCAGCAAAACTCTATGACCCGGCTCACTTACTTCCAGTGGGCTCATTTTTTTTTAAATAAGCCTACATCTCAAGCAGCCATTTAAACAATTTTCTCAGCCTCTTATTACCCATATTTTAACGCGCTCTTTAAAAGGTGTTAATTAACGACAATGTACTTATTGCCCATGACACCGTACCTATTGTCCACGTATACGACAGTATATTCGTAATACAGCATGTACTGCCGTATCCTGTAAGATTGTATTGGTACGTTTTTTAGCAGGTTATGGACATAAAATTTTAATGCATGAATTGGAAGGATAAATACTTTTTTTGTATATTAAAAACATTGCCGTAATTGGACTGTAATATTTTTCATTTTTCTTTTTTTATCCATTTGTATAATGCGCGTGAAAACAAACTAATGCTTGCACACAAACATAGTGGCGTTATCAGGTGCGCCTAGCAGACAGCTATGTAAATACCTTTTTCTGTCAACCAAGTCCTTGAGAAACGTGCTGTCTCTTTGTGCATCGTGTATTTTTATGAGTTAAGTAGTCTATTTTTGTCTAAAAAAGTTTTGACACGTTTGAACCATGAGTAGTTATATTACGATTTTGTTTTTCTTCGTATTTTAGCGTTGATAGTTTATTGTACTGTTGATACATCGTTTTGGTATCGGTCGTAGGAAGCGCCAGTGGTTTGTTAACATTTTGTTCGGAAAATTCTCAAAAGTGGTCTTGCCGTTAGTTTTTTTTCTGTGATTTGTAGCATTTATCTAAGAATCGTGATCTCTGTAAGTTCATTAATTTCTAACCTTGATAGCCCACCTCAAAACAAGAAACGACCGAACAGCAGTGCGAATACCACTAAAACAAGAAAGCGGTTGGCAATCTCTTTTCAAGAGGATTCGTTGCGTGATCCGGTGTTAAAAGATAAGCTAGCAAAGCACGTTACTAATAAGCGGAAAGCTCATTGTAAAGCGTTTAAAGAAGACTTGAAATTTTTTGGTAAAAGTGATTTAGTATCTCATGGTTCAAGGGCTACTCACGATGATAAATTTAGTGCTGCGATTGATTCAGGTTCTCTTGTTATCGTGGTAAATGAGGGTCTGTCATTTCAAGAGAGAACTCATGTAGCTGAAATGCGTACGAGCTTGTTCATCACACAAAACAATGTCAGTGCTCAATTAGCTCATTATTTGTTTCCGTACGTTAAATCAGTCGTCTAAGATGTCGGAGCAGCCAAAAATGTGCAAATGAAGTCCAATAAATGTTCTAAAGTAATTTAATATGTTTTATACCCTTACAAGTTTTCAAAACTTTAAGAAATTCTGAACGGTACATTTTTTTCAGTTATGGTACATGAGAGCACAGACATAAGTAACAATAAAATGCTTTGTATTTGTGCTCAGTACTATTAGCGTGAAAAAAATTCTGTTGTTCAACATCTTTTGCAATTGCTATATATCGATGCAAGATACGGTAGTGCTCAGGACTTATTCAACGTTTTTAAAAAATTCTTTGATGACAATTCAATAAATATAAAGAATATGGTGGCTCTATCTTGCGATAATGCCAGCGTAATGATCGGAAAAAAACGGGCTTAAAAAATACCTTTGTGATATAGTTCCAAGTTTACTTCTTTGAAACTGCGTTTGCCATACTACCGCAATAATCGTAAAAAATTGTTGTTCTTTAATTCCAAAACAAATGGAAGATCTTGCTAGCAGCGCTTATTCTTATCTTCCGTGTAGTCCAAAGCGAAGCAAAGAACTTGGGAAAAATTTAGAGTATTCAAATTTGCCTGATAACAAAACCCTAACGTTTTCCAGGACAAAATGGTTTGAAGCTTACGGATGCTTTGATCGTCTTATGAGCATGTGGCCCGTGATTATAGATTTTGTTACTGTTAAAGTATTTGAGAAAACAAGCTCATTACAAAGTGAAGAGAAATCAGAATCAAGCGCAAAAAAAACATTAAATTTATCGCAAGATCCTATGGTTAAAGCTTACTCAAATTTTTTTGGATTCAATCCTAATTATTTTAATTCATTTAATGCAAAATTTCAAAGTTAAAATTGTAAAACTGATCAAATCGCATAATCGGTGCAGAATTTGTTGAAAAATATTTCTATGGATTTTATTAATACACAATCCCTTGAAAGCATTTTTTTGCCATGTTTCAACGTTTACGAAGATCTATTGCCTTTAAATAAAATGTTCTTCAGACCCACGTGTCCCGAAATTTTAAAAGAAATGACGGATGAACAAGTTAAAGAGGTTTTAATCAATTGTAAGAAATTCTACGTAATCGCATTCACAGATATTGGTAAGCGTTTATTTCAAACCTATGACTTTCTTATAAATTTAGAATTTCTTGATCCCCGTATAGCTTTACATAAATTGAGCAGAGAACAATTTTAAAATTTAATCAGTTTCATGAAAAAATACTTTACATGTTTTAATTCCAATTGG